TAACTTTCTTCTTAATAAGAGTCAATAAGATATATAAAGAGAGAAGGAAAATGATTGGCAATCTGATATACTGGCAATCTTTTGAACAAATTGTTTTTTCCTTATTTTCACCTTTGCATGACAAAGCAAAGCCAATAGGATTTGCAATAGGTCGTCAGGGTCCATCATTTTATGTTGCTAAAGCCCCAGTCCCATATAAAGCCGGACCAGCACGGACCAGCACGGACCAGCACGGACCACTCCGGACCATCCCGGACCATGGTCTGGGGTGATCCGGGATGGTCCGGGATGTTTTGTTCAAAAAAGTGTGATGCTTTTAAAGCTACAGTCCCATATACGTCCCGGACCGTCCCGGACCATCCAGGACCATCCAGGACCATCCAGGACCATCCAGGACCACCCCGGTGCCAACACGGTGTCAACACGGACCGAATCCCGGATCACCCCGGATGGGGTCCGGGACGGTCCGGGACGGTCCGGGACGTATATGGGACTGTAGCTTAACACTCATGAAAATAAAGGATAATATGGAACATAAATGAGATTACAAATACATAAATGTACGTTCATTTTAATTAGTTCCTTTCAGTATCCTTCTTGAAGTGAAGTGTACTTTTATGATATGTTCGAAATTCAGAATTAATATTAAGGACATTTTTAGTAGTTTGATGTATGCAAATTGAAAACCAAATGTCATTGAGTTAGTTTCTCTGAAAAGTGGATAAAGCGAGATCTTAGTTGAATATCAAGCATGGTTGTATCAAGATCAAGACACGGGATGCGAGAAAATAAAGCCAATGTGTCATAGAGAATACCATAATTTTGTTAGTAAATAAATCTTTTCTTGAGTCTGAGTTGTTATTGTAGCCTTTTCTTTTCAAATACAAACAATCAATGCGAATAAATCATCAATCTTTTTCGAACTCAATTAACAATTCAATTCAATTCAATTTTATTTCATTCAGTTAAAAAGACAACATTTCAAATAACAACCAGCTATATAACATAAAATACACATTAAGAACATATTTGACATTTGGACAACAAATAAACTGAATAGGTTGCAACCTGAAAGGAAAAAAATAATCCTTATATAAAGGTTGACCCTTTTTTATAATAAAAACAAATGAAATATATCCGTTACTAAACATTATACTATACACAAATCAAGACAACAAACATACATACAACATCAAATAAAATATGTCTTGAATTTAAATGATTATTGCAGTTTATCTAAAAGAAATTTCTTATACCTACGTTTAAAAACATTTACACTAACAGAATTATGAATATAATGGGGAAGAGTGTTCCATAAAAAGGGTCCTTGGAAAATAATAATTTTTTGGTTTAGTACTGTACGAGTCAATGGCAAGTGAAATTGTTTAGCATTTCTAGTATTATAACTATGAATAGTACAGTTTAAAATAAACAATTTGGAAATAGAATCAGGAATAAGATTGTGGTGACATAAATACATAAAAACACCTACTTGTAATAAATATACATCCCTATATTGCAACATGTTTAATGAGTAAAATATTGGATTGGTATGGGCAAGAAAAGAAGAATGATTAATAATTCTTATTGCACGTTTTTGTAATTTAAACAGTCTATCTTGATAAATTAAAGCAGCATTGCCCCATACAATAATAGCATAATGTAAGTAAGGGTACACAATTGCATAGTATATCATTTTGAGTATAATTTTAGGGAGAGATTTCAATCTGTACATGACACCAATACTTTTAGATAATTTGTTGCAGATGACACCAATATGATTAGACCAGGAGAACTTATCATCAATAACGCGGTTAATAGAGCTTATACATATTATGACCCGACCACATTCATTGCTTGGTACAAAAGGATTTTGACAATACTTTTTAAAAGGCTCCTGCTCAGTCATCCGTGGCAAGTGAGTTAGGAATAAGATATCTTTAGACACATTTTCAAATGATCTTTAAAGTGACATATCATTCAAGGTCACAAGGGTTATTACCTTTATATGGGAAATAAATATACCAAAGTGTTGGTTGACACACACTACCAAGGGTGTCGATTTGTATCCGTGGTTGGGGGGGGGGGGGGGGATGATATGTGCCAAAATATTTTCGGCAATGGATCAAAGCAACCAAGAGGTAGAAGTGTGTGGCAGGTTGCACCCCCTCCCCAAGCGCGTACCCAGGATTTCATTTTAGGGGGGGGGGGAGCGGTAGTGAGCACGCGAATCACTTACAGAGCGCGCTCCCTAAGAGGTTGGGTGCAGGGAGGGGGGAGTTCCCCCCTCCCCCGCGAAACGCGGAAGCTTTGACGTTTCATTAAATTATTAGAGAAAGAAGACGATTCGTTGGACCGTTCTCGACTCTTAATCCTTGTTTGAATCAAGTTCTCCTTCCTCCGCGCGCAGCGCGGAAGCTCTGGTGGTTCATTAGATTATTAAAGAAAGAAGACGATTCGATCTACCATTCTCGACTCTTGTTTGAGTTTAACAAAAGTTAAGACTTCTTAAAATGGCAAAAAGAAATCTCAGATTAGAGAATTTCTAAAAATATCACTAGATAATGATATATTTTTTATTTTACTGTATGTTTGGTTAGTTGATACGGAAGTCGACACACGTTTGACTTCCATGTATATTAAGAAAGGAATATTTCTAAATGACTATTCTATTTCTTTGTTTACTTATACAGTTTATGTTACATGCATATAATGTAGTATAGTAAAAAAAAAAAAAAAAAAAAAAAAAAAAAAAAGTTTTAAAATTCTTGCCAAAGACAGGGAATCAGACTCGACTAGCACCCGTGCTAACTTTTGGTACCCCCTTTAACAACAAAAGTGTACACATAATATTTTATTACATTTGTATACGACATACTTTGTAAAACAATATTTATATTATGCATTTGTTATGTTATCGATCTTGTGTTATATTGTTATATTTTATGTAATCATGCTTGATACATTATGTTTTACTTGTTATTATTTTTGTTGTTTATAAACTCAAACTCAAAACTCAAACCTCAAAGTTCCCCTTCCCCCGTGCGTAGCGCGGAAGCTGTGATGTTTCATTAGATTATTAAAGAAAGAAGACGATTCGATGTACCATTCTCGACTATTAATCCTCGTCTGAATTCATTTTCGCCCATCCCGCGCGAAGCGCGGAAGCTTTCACGTTTCATTAAATTATTAGAAAAAGAAAACTATTCGTTGTATCGTGTACTTTGACGTTTCAATTAATTATAACTCTTAATCCTAGTCTGAATTCAGTTGCCCCCCTCTCGCGCAAAGCGCGTAAAAAGCGCGGAAGCTTTAGCGTTTCACTAAATTATTAGAGAAAAAAGACGATTCGTTGTATCGTGTCCTTGTCTGAATTCAGTTTCCCCCCTCCCGCGCGAAGCGCGGAAGCTTTGACGTTTCATTTAATTATAACTCTTAATTCACGTCTGAATTCAGTTTTCCCACATGATGTACGTATGGAACGTTCGTTCGCAAATCTTTGCATGCACAGCCCGAGTGGTGGGTATCATGTTATCTCCCGGCAGTGCTTGTCGCAATAGCTTCTGGAAAGGAATATTGTATACTACTGTTAGAGTTATCGGCCACTAATTAGGCCCATTAGTGACTATATAAAAATATATGCTGTTCCTGGCTATTTGGGAATGTGTCAGTTTGCAACAGAATTATGTTGAAAATCATGTGATATCACGAACATTTATAAATCACGTGTATGAAATTGAAAATAAGTCATGGCTGGATTTTATTGGGGGGGGGGGGGCTAGCGCAAGCCCCCCCCCCCAACAGTACGCCAGTGAAAAAGGCCTACATCAGCTTTTCAATAAAACAAAAATAAGATGTGAAATAATCTTTCTCCAAAAATGAAAAATGTTTTATGAAATATCAGGAAATAAAATGAGTGAAAAAATAAAAATAAAGATACAATGACGTGAATTTTAAAAAGGGTGAACGGAAACAACATAACAACTAGTGAACTATCTTATGAGTCATACTAATGTCCGAAAATCTTTCTCCTTGTCTCCGATCTCATCACGAATTCGTCACAGAGTTTATGTTTACACTGTCCAGGATTGTTTGATGTGCATTGCAGATTACTACTTTTGCGCTTCGCGCTTAACATTTAGCTCGTTGCTTAATTTTTAACGCTGCGGCTTTGCATTTGGCGCACTGTATTTCTATGATGCTGTTGATTGAAAAAATTGAATAAATTCATCAATTCCTGATGAAGCCGTATGAGCGAGAATTCAATTTATTCTTGTCTCATATACGGTTGTCTCATTTACTTCGTATATATATGTATGTATTATGAAAATGAGATAGCAAAATGTGTATATTGATGGTCATCTTGCGAGTAACAACCATTAACTACTTTCATCGGGCTCTCATCATTAATTTTTCTCTTCATTTTTTAATTTTTTTTATGGTGAATTATTGGGGGGGGGGGATGATTGTACAGGCCATCCCCCCTCCTGAAATATTGGGGGGGATATATCCCCCCCATCCCCCCCCCCCCCCCCCCCGGGATCGACACCCATGCACACTACATTATTATATCCATATAATAATAATTATGTTGTGATACATCATGTACATACGCATAGTTATTTTCCTGATTTTTTTTTCTTTCCAAAGATACCATAGTTATCATTTTTTCTGTTATTTTTTTTCTTCGGTCGTCTACGTCTGCTTCTGCTGCGGAACCACCTCGACCATCTCGACTGATTATTTAACAATTAAAGAACTAACTTTAGACATAGTCAAAATGACTGATTAATGAGTGAATGCCGCAAAAATACAATCAACAACAACGTTTGCTTGTGTTGTGAGCTGTAGTTAGCTAGCTCCAGCTCTACATCATACTCTAACCAGCCGCTCCGCCACGCCGCCCCGATAAGATCCACAGGTGCGGTAGCGTACGCCGCGCCTTCGGCGTCGGCGTCGGAGCTCCCTGGAGTTAAGTTGTAGGCTGAAGCTCGCCAGATCCAGTGCGGTGCCTATGGCTATGCAGCCGCAGCTCAGCTGCAGTGCAGTGCAGTGAAGTAGTCACGCAGAACGGGTACAACTCAGCTCCACTAACTAGTAATCAATTCAACGCTATCCCTAGTAGGCCTATACTATAGCACTAGATATGGAAGGAGCAGGAGAAGTGGAGAGGGTGACATTCCTGACAGATATAATGGAAATAGAGCGTCTATCTAAGCGATTGAAAGAAGGATGGGAAGTCAGATCACACACGGTTTGTATTGTAGACTAGATCTAACATTAGAGTCTATGTACCATATAGGGATGTTACAAAAAAATTAAATCTCAGAATTCAAGCTCCTGCTTTATGCCATTCGACAGAGCTTGATAAGACCTTCTATTTGATGCCTCATTCATCATAATAGCCCCAGTAATAAGAAAGTTATGCCAATTTTAAACGCCCGGAAATCATGTATTTAATTGCTTTGTTTTCCTTTGTTTTTAAACCAAAAGTTGTGATCTCAAATGTGACCGAAAGATTCTATTTCATGACATAAAATTACCCCAAAATGTATGTAAATACACAAAAAACGCTAATCGGGCCGTCATTTTCACATTCCTCATCCAAAAAAAACATATTTCTAATTGTTAGATTTTGCTGAAATTTCACCAAAAGCAAATTCACATGTTAACCAATCGGTCTAGATACTTTTTTTCAAATCCTGTAGGTAGGATCAGGGTACAGAATGGCACTAAACATGGCTCTTGTGAAACAGTGCAGCAAAACAAACCGCCGAAAACATAAATCATAACATAAATCATAAAAAGTTTAGTATGCATGAAAGATAACAATGTCATTCTTCTCATCCAATAGAAATCATGAAACAAAAATCTAATCAGCCCATCAAAAGATCACATTTACGTAGGCTATCCAAATTGGTCTCCAATAGTGCATAACAGCCCCATAACAGAAACCTTCTTGGCGAAAGCACACACATTGTAACATACCTATACCATACACGTAATTCTTATAGTAGATCTTCTACTTGTTCTAGGTCTACTTAATAAAGACAAATTAGCCTAGATAGTCTAGCCCTTCTGGCATCTCTATCTAGATGATGATGACGAAGACAAAGACGATGATGATGTTTATGCTAATGACTAATGTCGATGAGTGATGATGATGAATTGATGATTTATGAATATGATAGTGTTTTGATTAAACTTTAATGATCCTGATGATGGTGAAAATGTTTGATAATTAGTCTAGACTATGCTAATAAACTTTTTAAAGTAGACCTAGATATATATGTTTCAGAAATGCGCTACGGTCTCTAGATCTAAGTTAGACCTAGAGACTAGAGTTTATACTCTAGTCTAGACTCTAGCCCTGTAGACCTATGGCTATGTTTTGTTATAATATAAAAATGGGGAAAAAATGAATCTTTAACAATAACGTGTAGCACTGTGCTACACTACACTGCTAGTCTCTCTCTAAGACTCTATTTGTTTTATCTGGTGGACTCGAAAGACAAACTCATTGACTGTACAATGCATTTCATTTTCATGTAGGTTGGCACAGATGCTGTCCCTTATCTGATAAAAAGGAACGTCATGCGTCAGCTGCCGATATCACTTGAAGCTGCGGATGGAGATTCTCATGGAAGTGGATCAGATGGATCCATATTGTGCAATGTCACAGATTCAAGACATGATGCGTGCCAGCTGGAGGAACTCGATGTTCCTGTGGTGGGTTTTGATTCGTTTGAATTTTATAGTTTTATTTTACTTTTGAGAAAGCTAAGAAAGCATGTAATTTATTAAGTATCGGTAAGCAAAATGGTGAATTCAACCTTTGTAATAAGTTCATTTGTATGAAAGCAGAAAACTAAGAGAAACAGAATGGCGAAAGTATGGAGTCCAAAGAGTCCAAACAATAAGAATTATGAATTACAATGTCCTTATAAGATGGAGAATAAATGTTTTGAAGAAGATGGAGGATTCCCTTCTCAGTGCACAATTATATATGTCATTAATTTTTTAAAAATTGCAGACAGGAGCACCATCAGTTGAAGGGCACCGCATTGAGAGTTGCCAATTTGAGTATCACATCATTCACAGTGCAAGCTACAATGTTCCAGTTCTCTACTTTACAGCATGCAAATCAGGTTTGTTATTTGTTACTTCATCACATTCACAAATCCCTAGAGCAATAGTTGTGAGAATTTATCCTCACAATGCTTTTTTTCAAAAGAGGCTTGCCCGACATAGCAACAGTTAATATATGCTGACTGGATTCCGAGTATTGTCGGTCAATCATTGAAAACAGGTTAATTGATTAACTCATCACAAGGTCCCCATGAAAGAAACATCCATAGAATTGAATATGTTAGTAGACCAGTCTATTGGGTACCCAGTAGAAAGACATTCCTTGAACCTGGCAGCTTGGCTGGCTAAAACGGGGGTAACGATATGATCAAGGGCCCTCGGGGAGAACGGTATTAATACTGATGAGGCTGCCCTTGGTAAAAGGATGTATTATTATTATTACGAACTACCGGTATAATGATTATTAATTAACGCACCTCTTTGTGCAGATGGAAAGCTGCTTACCTTGGAGGAGGTGTGGAGGCAAGTACCAGGGTCGTATCAAGAGAGGTTGAGGCATCAGAGATGGACATTTATCACACAGCAGGTACTTTTACATGTTGTTCGGTTAAAGGGGAAGGTCACCCTGATATTAAACTTAAAGGTATTGTTTAACAATGTTTCCAGTTTTACAAATCTGAGATGCATGGCTTTACATGTTATCAGTGTCTGTGATATGGTGAAATATTGAAGCCCTGAAAAAATGATGCTTCAAAATAATCATGAAGTGCCTCCAGAAAGTAAAAATATTTGAGTGACCGGTTCTACCATACTCATTTTCCCTAATAGACTGTAGTATAATAAAAAACGTTGGGGAAAATAGTGTTTGACATTTCAAATTCCAATCATGAATATCTTAATAATCAGACAGACGATCGGCTTGTAAAAGTCATATGGGATTCCTGACTGACCTAAAGGCTTATAATTATAATTGCAGAAGATTTTGTGTAGAATCTGAGACAAAGTTACCGGATTTCGTACAAGGGGAGGGGGTGGTTAGATCTGTGGGTATCCATAGACACTTCTAGCATCTCAAGTCAAATAAACAATTATAAAATAGCATTTGTTTTATCTCGTCAGGAGCATCCTCTACTCGGGAGGCCCTTCTTTCAGCTCCACCCTTGTCGAACAGCAGATCTGATGAAGTCTGTTGCACCCATCAGTAAAGGGTGAGTGTAATGTACTGGATGGGTGTTTCACAAAACTTGTCATCAGTGACAAATGGGCAATTCCACGGTAACGGAAGGACACTCAGACAAGATTTTTGAACTTCAGGTTCATACTAAAAAAACTGTTTTATTAGTATAAGATGTGAAACAGTACAGATATAATACCTATATAAGTGCCTTTAATTCTCCCCCCAAAAATTGTCATTATAGTTAAGTAGTTTAAGAATGTGCATATTAATTATCTCGGTAACGGAAGGACATAAAAATGGACATGGTTTTTCCAGTTAATTAGTGTTTATCCAAACTTTGTGAAGTTGATGAAGCTTTCCACTTGACTGAAACACATTTTGTTCCCCATAGTTTAATACATACTATAGGTTTTCCCGCCCAATTTCATCAGAGTTGCACCCGATTTAACGATGCGATCATTCAATTTCGAGCGAATTTGAATGATCACCGAGATCAACATTCAAAAAGCTAATTAGTTCATTCAATTTAATTGTATAAGCATGCGATTTCATGATTTTCTCACATAAACGTGTAGAAAGCGCGTTCAAATTAAAAATGCAAGTAAATGCATTCAATTTCGCACCTGCACCGCCCTGATGAACGTTAGGGTATTCAAATTGACGAATAGGCAAGCATTTACAGCATTTGGGCAGTCTTTTTCTGTTACTGTTTATATTCTTTGCAATCTGCATCTCTTTGAATAAATTATGCAAACTTTATGTACCTTGAAATGGGACCTTTCCCTTAAAGTGAAATATCTCATTCATCTAACAAACCGTCATGTAAACAAATTATGATTTATAACCATTCTGTAAGTGTTATATCCATACTGCTAGGGAGTACAGTAAAACTGGAAAAAAAGATTAGAAAGAAAATAAATATATAGAATATAATAAAAATAAACATGAAACTTTAAGAATGAAAATTAAGTTGTATGATTAAAAATAATGAGAAAAAAAATATGACGCGAAAATATTGCGGAAAAAATATAGAACTACAGAACTTGTATATGTTAATTTAATTTGAACGTTCAAAGTGCGAAGGTGTGTGCCTATAAATGAAATTGAAATTGGTATTAAGCACGAAATTGAACGTCTATCCAGCTTGCGCGAAATTGAATGACAACTTAGCGGCACTAAATTGGATGGATTTCTCTCTAAATTGAATGAAATAAAATTTAAAAGGAATGATATGAAATGAAATTAAATGCTCAAAGAATGAAAATGAACCATGAGAGCAGAGAGTTGATGGAAACCGTTCGAACTTGAACGCCTATTCATGAAGTCGAATGCAACTCTGATGAAATTGGGCGGGAAAACCTATAATAAAACATTTCTTTTAGTATGAACCTGAAGTTCAAAAATCTTGTCTGAGTGTCCTTCCGTTACCGTGGAATAGCCCAAATGACAGTTGTTGTTATAAGCTACCAAAATAATTGCTTCTGATTGGTTACCAGCAGATTTGTCACTGATATTTGTCATTTGTCATTGAAAAAAGGCTTTGTTAAACGGGTCCCTGGAAGGCTCCGCGTGACATTTCAGCATAGTAGAAACAATCATCGTCTCGGCTGAAAATGTAACCACATGAATAAAAATCAGCGAGAATTTCAAGTAAAATTATCAAAATTTTGTAAGAGTAAAAATCATTGTCCAAGTTCTATAGGAATTGTCATAATTTATCGACCTAAAATTATGGATATTTTAATTGGATGACTAATTGCGACCTTTATAACTGAGGGATTTTTATGCCTTGACCACTGAAGGTGGTGCTGGAGGCATGTTTTGGGGTTTTCCGTCTGTCCGTCCTGCTTTCTCATTATTGTGATATCTCAGGAATGGATAACTACCATGGGATAAGCGTGCTTTTCTTTTTAAAATTCATAAACAGTTAAATGAGCAATCCCTAACCTTTCACATTTCAAGAAAAAGTTATTAAATGAAATATAAACTTTATGTTAACTGTGAAAAAAACCTAACAAGTGTGCTAGTAATACCCAGGAAATGAAAAAGATTTGAAAATATGAAATGCCTTGACAGAATAGCTCAAAAGGATATTTTGTTTAAGTATTCATGGCTTTTCGTAATTTATAGTATGATACAATTTGAAGAAAAAGTCTTAATTTGCGTTAGGAAATAACAGAAAAATTTCATTAAAAAAAAAGGTTATTTTAAAAACTTATTTGTTACTTCAGGAACTATGTGGTGACGTGGCTGAGTTCTGTCGGGCCTGTGGTGGGTCTAGAATTACCTCTTGCTTTCGCCAATCTCTGCCAAGCAAGGTGAGACAGCCTGCAGCTTTATACACGTAAACCATCGACAGCGAACACGTGGACCAACTTCTGGACCAACTGTGGCTCTAAGGTAGGTTTTCCATGGTTCAGTTGTGGACCATCTACTGCTGAAATGAACAAAGTTCCGACCTGGTTCAGCTAAAATTTGGACCAACGGGAACTGAAAGATGGATCATCTACATTTTGAATATGGAATACCTACAGCTCCAGTGAAGACTGTGTTTAGGGCCATCTTTAGCTGAATTGTGGACCATCTTCAGGACCATCTGAAGTTGAAGTGTGAACTATTTGCAGCTCAAACCTAGACCGTCTTCAATACCATCTTTAGCTGAAATCTGGACCATCTTTCAGCTCAGATGTAGACTTCAGGACTATCTTTAGTTTATTGTGTGGACCTAGCTTCTACAGCTCAAAGATGGGACGACCTACAACTTAAATATGGACTTCCTACACAGCTTAAATGTCTTAAGGTGACTTGTAGACCATAGTCAGGACTTTCCACTCCTCAAATGTAGACCATCTTTTGGACTATCAACATCTCAAATATAGACACTCTTCTGGGCCTTCTCCAGCTCAAATGAAGACCAGCTCCTTGACTATCTCCATTTTAAAATGTTCACATTTTCCTTGACAGTGCCATCTTTGGAGACATATATACACCAAATTGAGGGCACCTACTAACCTAATGCCTATATTATTTGAAGATTGTATTGTATTATTTGTTTACCTGTTGTAAACTGGAAAGAAACGTGAGAGTCAAAAGCTACCTGTGTCTTTTTGGTTTCTTTATGAATTGAGGAAGTCATAAATATTAATATCTCAAATGGTCATATCCTGGGCCAAAATTTTTGCTCCAATCCAACACTTGGAAAAATGTGCCCATCTTTTTTTTTACCCCATACTGACACTTCTCCCTGTTGAGCTTCATGCCCAACAACATTACATCTCTGCAACAGCTTGCGTAGACGAGTATTGCATTCTGCTTTGTCACCATCCCGGACAATAATATCAGCAACTCAGCGTACTCCATCGAGTCCCTCAAATGTCTGAAATGGTCTCTTCTCAAAAGTCTTGCTGCTCACCTTGAGTACAAATGGTAACCGCTTCCATCTTTTTCTCCCCCAAGGCGAAGCGAATGTTGTTATACAAGTCTTCATACATGACACAATGGAGATAACCATCTTTCCGGTCGCAGACCGAGAACAGACTTGCTTTAAGCAACTCTGGTAGTATGTTCTCAAGTACTGGTAGGGGGTAAGATCAATTTTAGAGAGAGGCAAATAGATCTTGCTGGTTAGGCATTGGTTCGGAATCGAATACAGTTATCTTGTTCAGGCGACGAAAATCAATACAAAACTGATTCGAACCATCCGGCTTTCTCACCATCACAATCGGATGCGCATAGGGACAGTCTGACTGCTCGATCACCCCTTACTTCAACATCGACTCAACCTCTTTCCCTATCTCACTATCTACAGCTTGAGGTACCCTATACGGAGAAGAACAAACAGGTTCGTCACTAGTCAAATGAATCTTGCATTCAGCCACTGAAGTTTTCTTAGGAACATCCAAGAAAACATCTTGATATTCACACAACAATTTCCTGACCTTACCCTGGGATTCCTTACTCAATTTCTCATCAACTTAAACATGAATTACAAACTCCTTCTGTACGGAACATGGCATGTCAGGTAGACCTCTCAAGTACTCCTCGACCTTCTCAATGTTCGTTATGTGCATAAAAATACTACATAATCCATAACATGTGAAATGAGCAAACACAAAACACATTGTTCTTAAAGTTTAAAAAAAAACTTTATTACATGTACATTCAATAACCAACACTATCTTTTTTTAACACCTTATTTTTATTACTCTCTTTATAACTATACATTCATGTAAAATGGGCTAATACTAATACAAATGATTAAAAAAAAAGTTAAAATGACACCTTGATAACAATCAATAACCGACATTTTCTTTTTTTTACAATTTGTTTACAACTTGTTTTCACAACTACACAGTCCGTATACATGGGTTAAAAACAAAATTGCTTTAAAATTAAAACATAGGATAACCAACCTTCCTTTTTTCCTGAACTTTTTACAACTTTTTTCTTTCAATTACACAATTCATATTCATGTACAGTGAAAAAAAGGCAAATACAAAACACATTGTCTTAAAGCTAAACAGATTCAATAACAACCTTCCTTTTTTCAACTTGGAGTGTTAACAACTAAACAGTCAATATACCCTCCCGTGCCAAAAGTATTGCAACATAGACACACACATTACACAGGAGACAAATAATTGAAAATGAGTGCTGTTTTAATGAATATGTAGTGCATCATTTTTTATCATACTATCAGGCATATTTTATTGATATATCAATAGTCATTTTTCATGTAAGATTCACGAGTCTCTAGTATTTTGTTGGATATCCTCGCCTTCTAATGATGGCGCGCATCCTTCTTGGCATCGTCGCGTAGAGTCCTTGCAATCTTTCTTGGGTGATGCTGCCCCAGGCCCTGAAGATAGAGCGGACCAAACCTTCCCTCGTGGTTGGTCGGTCTTTGGTGTTGGCTCTCTTGATGTCATCCCACAGATTCTCTATCGGGTTAGCATCTGGTGATTGCGCCGGCCACTGCACCCTGTTGACGCCAGTTTCGTCATACCATTGGTCCATCCTGGCTGCCCTGTGTGCCGGTGCGTTGTCATCCTGGAAGACGAACGGGTGTTGCGCGTTGCCAAAGATGTTAGCAATGGATGGAAACAAGTGGGCGTCCAGAATATCTCGATATTTGGCGTTATCAATGTTCCCATCTACACAAATTTAACCACAAATTTAACGAATTTCATCATGTTGCAATACTTATGGCATGGGAGGGTACATGTAAAATGGGCAGACACAAAACTCATCTTTTGATAGTTAAAACAATATACTTCATTACATTCAATAACCAACACTATTTTTATTGTTGAAATAAATCTTTATTCAGATACAAAATCACAGATAATATCAAACATATTTATAACAAGCATTTCATCACATGTTGAAATGAGATAAAATTATATATCTTTATTTACTTGAAAGAGCAGATTATAGATGCATTTCTTGTAAATCGTTAATTATGTTCATCCACTTTAGTATTCACATCTGTTGTCTTAGTTTTTTTTTTCCTCAACTTCTAGTCTGTATTTTAACATGAACAAAAAATGTTTGCTTATTATTTTTTAATTAAATTTATTACAACACTATAACCAACAATATGCTTGTGTATCCTTCTGTAGCATTTGAGCTACTTGCGAGTTCCCATCTCTTTACTGCTTCTCACCAGCATCAGATAGAGTGGGAGTATCCAAATCCCTAGGGGTCACCTGGCCTGAGGTCGGAGATGTCTCTCTCCAACAGCGTAGATAAGCTGGAGATGTGTGAAATATCTGCGAGGTCACGCTCACAGCTTTTATTGACATGCTCAGTATACTATACATAGTCAATCCCTGTGTACTTACCTGTGGTCATTGTTGGGAACTTTTTCTATAGTTCCGACCATGTACTTTTCTGCAAATGCAGCAAAGAAAACCTGGAACATCTCCGTAGTCACGCCATCCATGTCTACTCCTTGCTCTCCCTCCATCTCCACGTTTATTCGATGGCGCTCCAGCTCTAGGTCCTCCCTACAGCTTGTGGAGAGCACTTGGTGTGAAGTGCCGATGGCTGAGGACATGCTCTGCTGCTGCTGCTTGTGGTGGTGGTGCTGTTGCTGCCGGTAGTACTGGTACCGATGTTGATGCTGCTTGGGGTACTGCTGTTGCTGCAGAGGGTACTTCTGTTGCTGCAGTACAGGGGTATATGCAGTTGCTTGGAAAACTTTGGTTGACCCGTAGGAGGAGGTGGCATCTGGTTGATCATGCTGGCTTGGTATCTATCCATGTACCCGCAGTCCTGGCATTGCCACGTGGACCTGGGTGGTGGCCTGGTGCTCTTTCACAGTTTGGGGGTCGACTGCCACCGCTCGAAGGTCTTGGGAGAGGACGAGAAGGTGGGTGCAGAGCTGGGTTGGAAGGATCCTGCTTGCGAGAAAGATGGCAGAGTGACTTGTGGAGGCTCTTTCTCGTCGCTATCCTGTGTGGCAACTTCCAGGATTCGGCTGATGGCCGTGCACGCCTTTTTGAATTTCCTTCTGGACAAGTTTGATTTGATTTTGATTTGATTTATTTACTTCTGTTTGATTTTCTTTTTCTTTTGCAGTTTTACAAATATGTAACAAACAAAACATTGCAAATTTTACACAACCATGACATAAGAATATATGTAGAATAAAGTAAGACTGGCTGTAACTAATCGAAAACATTGAAAATTCATAAGTATCCTCTTTGACGTAAGTCCCACAGACCTCCACTGGTGTCTGTGGCTGCATTGCCTGCTGTAACTGGATCATCTGCTGGCCAGACTCCTGCAGCCGCTTCTGCAATGTGGCCATGAGTGCATCCTCTGATTTCGCACCCTTCCTTTTTATGTCGACTTGCTGAGCATTTTTAGGACCTTCCTCCTCTTCTTCCGCCTCTGCACCGATCATGGCGCACTCAGCCTCAGCAGCTGACAGACCGCCACTGTGTGCATGGATCGTATCCTGAACCTACAAGTACAAAATAATACAGATCATGAATGCAGAAATGCTAATGCAAAAATCAATACAAATTTATGTTCAGATACATTGGACCTCGATACATTTACACTGTAGATACATTAAACCATCTGATAGTAATAACACATATTTATATAAAAATTACTAAAAAGTACAAAAAGTCTAACAATATGTAGCTGTACTTACACTGCTAACTGGCTCTGGTCTGTGGTATGTAATCTTCTGGAAAAAGAACGTTATCAAGCTTCAACCCTTATAAGGTATTAAGTCTCAGATAAATACTTTTAAGAAATCTGTAAATGGGATGGCAAGAACAGACCGCAATGGCAAAAAGACCAATTAAGAGTCCAAAGTTATTTGAAGTTAATGAACCATTTCAAAGCCATAATAGCGCAAGTTCACATAAGTTACAGAGTTGAGCAGCATCAAAGTGTGTACACGGGACTTGTCTGGTAATATGTAGCTTCAGTGATTCAATGTAAATGTTGTTCACTGTCTACTTGTGACAGTTTGAGTGCTATACGCAAGTCTTTCGCAAAGTCTGAGCACATTCTCTTAATCTTCTTTGAGCTGTGTAACACCCAGTTGGGGGCATTTTACACTGCATGTAACACTAAATTCATAGTTTTTTCCCCTACTTAAATGCA